TTTACATAACAAATATTCTATCTAATGTTATCGTATATTTTTTAATATTATATAATACGTATTATTTTTTACCAGGTGGCTAATATAGATTTCTAATTTTTAAGGGTGTTTTTAAGTTTTATTTGAGCCTCAAATTATGTAGTATAATTATTCGGATTGATGTAGTTATTTAAACATTATCCGATGATAATTTACATGTGCTGAAATCATTATAAATACATACTGTATTTTATAATAGATAAACTTTCAATCAACACTCATTGATAACATAAAACGGTCGTGGAGACTAATCTATGCTTTTATATATATTTTTATTAATAAAATTTCATTATATTTTGGATACTATTTTTGATTAAACACTTTTGAAGTTAAAAACTGTTAATTTTTACAAAGATAATTATTTACATTAATTTATGGTTATAGTTATTATTTTCCAAATTAAGAACATAAAATATGTGTCTTCTTTTAATTCATTTAATAAATAATAGTATGTAAATAATATACAGTTTAATTAAGAAATAATATTTAATCATGTTCAAATATTAAAATTAAATAAATATATATATAAATATTGTATACCCAAAACTTGGGATTAGTAGAAAAGCTTAATCATATCCTCTATCTATTAATTGAAAATGTAGTTTAATGAAAAATGTTGATTTGTTGTAATTTGATTGGTTAAAATCCTTTCTCTATCCTAATTAAATGTGACATGGAAATGATGATGTGTAATGATGATGTAATTGTGACATAACTTTTACTAACACATGTGGTTTATGACATGACAAAAAGATTTTTTGTGATATTTTTATTTATAAAAAAATTAATTAGATGACAAATTTAGTGTACTAATAACTAAATAAATGATTCGCCAGATGCATTATGAATAGTCTGATATTATTATTCATCTATATGGGTAATAGCATATGAATTTTGGGCTGAACGTGATGATTTTAATACATATATATATATATTATAATACTATGGATAATACTATATTATATATATTAAATTTAATATAGCTCTGTCGTGGATCACTGTAACTTTCCATATAGAGACACACATATATATATATATATATATATTATAATATTATATTCATATGGAATACATGCACATATATTTTCATATATTTCAGTAGGCAAAATTATAATAACAAAATCATATTGATCAAATCGTTTACTTAATAATTCATACTTTTTGTAAAGACGGTGCTCCATTTACGTGCACATATGTTTTCACATACTTTAGTTGACAAAATTATAATAATAAAATAAGATATTATTGTGATCTTCTGTAGAACATTCAAAATTTTAAAATATTAGTTTAGTTTAAAAATAGTAACAAATATAAATATAAGATTTCGATTTAATAATCCTCTACATTATTTTTCATAACAAAAGTTGAATATCCTAAAAAATCGGCGTGCATCTAATGAAAAACCAAAATCATTATCCTCTACATTATTTGAAAAGTTTAATGTCCATTTAATAAAAACCAAAAAGATCCATATAAAATCACGTTCATCCCAAATAACTAATGAAAAAGTTAGATATTCGGATCCTTATATAAGAAAACATCACAACACAATGAGTATCAAACAAATCAAACCCTAACTCAAAGCGCGGGCATGTCAATTCTATCAATCCATTTATCTAAATCGAATATGGCTAAAATGAAACTTGAAGGTTGTATAGACTCCAATCGTGAGTGTAATGAAGCAAGGTTTATCGCTAGACTGAATTTCCAAACGGGTTTGACATTAAAAAATTAAGAAGTGGCTCCCTCGCAACAGAAAAGACAATGTTCCCTACGATATTAGCCTTCCAGAAGTTTCAGAAGAATATGGTGAACTTTTCTACCTTAAATTATTGCTAAATGTTCAGAGAAGACCAGTATGTTTCAAAAAATAATAGAACAGTAAAAATAGTTTTATATTCAACCTTCGCTGAAACATGTCTTGTAATAGGGTTAATTGAAGCATTTGATGCTTAAGTGGAGATGGTCTTGCAATTATTTATAGAGTCTACTTGATAAAATTATAAGTAGAAAAATTGCACATATAAGTAGATTGAGACCAACAATGACGGAATCCTTGAAGAAATAATGTTTTAAATTGAGGAAGATTATAGGAAGACAAAGAAAATAAAAAACGTTTGTTCAAAAAAAAGACAGAGAAGATAAAATTTGCAGCTTGATCCACAAATTCGAAGAAGGTAACCAGCTATCCACGGGTTTGATCCATTTGATCATCTAACATAACTGGTCAAGTTTTACAAAGCCTGATCATGAAAAAATAAGTTTTGTGTTTTCCAAATTTAATTATTATTTTTCAAGTCTGTCTCAAAATATAAATAAACCTTTTGTTATAACAAAATGTTTAGTTAAAATTAGATCATATTTTACTACTTAATTTAAAGTCCTATAATTCAAAACACTGACCTTGAGTTTCATATACTACAAAAAAATTAAAATATTTAAAACGGATTTAGATATTGTATTTAAATAATTACATTTTAAAAATTGTTCATGTCCGCACATGCGTGCGGGCCAATATCCTAGTCGTCAATTAAGATACATAAAATCTATATAATGACTTTGTATTTCTACCCAAATATATCATACACCATGTGCATGATATTTATTTTTTTTAATTAATTCATGTAACAATTAAATGACCTTATATTTTATAAAATAAATAAAAAGATTTATATCATCAATGTTATAGCATAATGTTATATAAAAAAGAAATAGACAATCATTTATTTATAATATATTTATTGATTTTTAAACGTTTTCATTAATTAATGTGTGAGCTCCAAAATCATTGAAAAGACTGAGGTATAACACATGAAAGACACTTTTTTTTGTCAACTACCAACCATACGAGAAAGTTAATTTAGGTTACTGAAAGCATGTTCAACTAAACCCGCTTCTATTAACCGATTCTGATTTATATGGAAGGAAATACAGCCACGTGCTCTTGCCCTTTTAGCAAGGTCATCGGCACGGACATTTTCGGCTACGAGAAATAAACCTAACAATAGAAGTCTCAAAGATGATCTAAGCATACACAATTAATTTATCTCTGATCTGAAGGATGGCTAATCCGTAGGTTCTATAATCATCTGGATCAGGTTTGAGTAATCTGGATTGATACATACTCTATGGACTTGTCTGTCTTTTAAGCAATCCATCATCCATAGTAGTCTATCCATCTCTGCATGTAATGCTGATAGGGACCATCTGCACCCATGTTACCTAGTGGTAGTTTGTCTTCTTGTGTTTGGTAAGCACCATCCAGTTTCACTAATTGATCCATGATCGACCCAAGAGACATCAATCTGGCAAGTCGGGATTTGGAGGACCACACGAAACTCATCCGAGAAATTGAGGTTTTGTCTCTCCTCTTCCTTCTCGTCTATCTCTTTTTCATTTGCTTTCCGCGAGCTTTCAGCTTATACAATAACTTGTTGTAGAATGTCTTTAGGTGTGATGACTTTTTCTTTAAAGATTTTTTTTGTTTCTTCCCTTCCATATAAACCAAATAATCTACAGAAAAATATCTTTTTTAGGAGCAGAGAGTTTTCTTTCTCCCATAATCTAAAATAAAAAAAAAGTCAAAGTTTCTTTTAAAAAATGAGCTCAGAAAGTCACCCGAAAAAGGAATAAGGAAAGACATATAAAATTATAATGTTGATAATACATATCAAATTATAATTAACATAAATAGTAAACTTTATTATAATGAAATAATTGATTGAATAATATACATATTATGTAAAAACAACTGATAGTAAAAAAATGTTTCTGATTTGATCATATAAGATTTTAGAAAATTTAGATTTATTTATATAATTAAAACCGAGTGTTGTATATAATAAAAAATAACCTTGTTGTGTTTTTTATAACAAAAGTTCATTAAACTTAATATATAGTTAACCATTCTATATTTTTTTATCTCATCTAAATTCTCCCCTCATGTTAATTTGTACAATTCTATAAGAAATTTTTATTTATTTAAAACCGATATTTATAATGATTCATTAAACTTTAAAAATAATAATTAATCTCATCCAAATTCTCCTCTCAAATATATGATACTGTAATTTGTATCAAACGCATAACATAATGGTACCATAACGGCAAATTAGCGTTTGGGTGCGGTTGCTGTTGCGGAGGAAGCTATCAGTGCGACAATCCCTAAACCCGACCAAAGGGAAACGCGAGAACCTGAGAGATCCTGGATCAATCGATCTTCCTCCCATAGAAACCGCGAGGGAAGAAGACGAAGAAGAAGAGTATAAGAAGAATAAGAACAGCAAATATCTGGATCAGGAACAAGGGAGGAGAAGATGTTGCCCACAACTTCTAGATCTCGCTCTTCATCTTCTTCATCCCGAGCTAACCCAATGTTCCTTCAGTACTTTCGTCGTATCGTCAAGGTACTCTCTCTCTCTCTCTCTCTCTCTCTCTCTCTCTGTCCTTCTCTCTCTCTTATAACATCTCAAGTTTAATCGTCGATATGATCTCAGATTTTTTCATTTTATGTTGTGAAATACATAGATTCGTCATTTCTTAAACAATTCATCGGCAGATAATGAGAATTCGAATCGGGAACCTCGGATTTAGCTGAATTGATGCGTCCCTTCATAGCTTCTAGAAAAGTTTAGCTCCGCACTGAAGTGGTAGATATGTAGAGATCATTTGCTGTAAATTATGCTGGAGTGTGATGATCTGGTAATTAAATAAGAGATCTTTCAGGATTCTGTAACATTTAGCTCTTATGAGTAGTGATGCTGATGTTGAGAGGTAGCTTCAGTGTTGTTAAGGTCATGTAGCTTGGGGATCTGTAAGCACTGGTCAAAAGTTATTTTCAGAGAAAGTGGGAAGTTGTATATGTGGACTATCATGCTTATCAGAGATCATGTTTGAGTTTGACATTTGGGCCATGATACTTTTTCATTTCTCGTTTTGTAATAGTCTTTTGTTCATTGCAGTGGCAACAAATGGATGTTGAATATACTTTCTGGCAAATGCTTAACCTTTGTACATCTCCAAAAGTTGTGTAAGTCTTTGAAACTTTTAATTTTCTATCTTGAACCGTTCCTCTTTCTATGCCACTTTGAGGTTAAGTTTCTGTACATAAATCAATAATAGAATGGTAAAGATAACTAGCTGTTGCATTTGAAAGGATTATAAGATAAAACCTAGAACTGTAAGGAGTCATGCACCTCAAAATGATAGAACTGGAACTGTTACCCGGGCTTTTACTACAGAGTTGATTGAGATGAAAAATTATCGTTTAATTATTTAAGGTTTTAGGTGAATAGAGTTTGAGATGGTTTCACTTCTTCTCTGCAATAATATATTGATAAAATTCTAAACTTGTGCAAGGCTTATATGTTTTTAATAGGCTAGTCTAGTCCAACAGGTTGGAATTTTTTAGTTAAGGGACTTTGTGGTGACTTAATTTCTAGTTCTTATTCTTATACCTTTTTGTATGTTTGCATGTGGGCGCTGCGGCATCAGCTATCAACACACTAAGTATCACAAACGTAAGCTCAACTTTCATTAGTGAACCCTCATGCTACTGCCACTAGCTTTTATCTGTGCTTATAGATCGACACTTCTGTTACTTAAAATACCTTAAATCCACTTTTACGATGAATGTGGTCAAGGATTTATTTAATCATTCCTTGTGTCTTTTTTCTAGGTTGCAAGCTTTATGTCTTAGCTCCTCCTGCTCCATTCTGATATTTAATGCTAGTGCCTGTTAAGAATAAAGCTAAAGTTTGGCATGCCCTGTGAATTGACGTGCATTTACTTTAATTTCTCTTATGCTTTTTTTTCCCTCAGAAACTAAGAACCAATGGGCACGTGATGACCCTGCTTTTATTGTGATCTGTAGCCTGCTTCTTGTTGTTGCAACCTTAGCCTACTGCGCAACGTAAGTGTTTTGTATATGTGCATTTTTAGAGTGCGAGAGTTATAACTATTGCCTTGGAAAACGAGTTCGTTCTTTTTTTTTTGTTGGTACTAAATCTATCGTCTCTGCTTCAGGTATGACCATAGTGGCTCTCACGCTGTTGTCGTAGTTGTATCAGTTTTCCTCACCCATTTCTTAATCACCGGAGCAGTTATAGCTACATGCTGTTGGTAAGTAGTTTCCATCAGTGCATAGAAATGGATATTTGTTGGTGCAAACTCTCACACCGCTTAAGTATTATGGTTGCATCCACATGTCTGTGATACAAACACTGTTACTCCCACTCCTGCTGGGATTGGTTATCTGATCTTATTATCACTGTTTTCTCATTATATAGTAAGATTTAGTACTCAATCCGATCTTATGAATGTTGCCAGTTTCGTGGAAATCGCTCTTGCATGAACCATAATCCTTCTCTATTGGTTTATTATCCAAAATCTACACTGTCTCTCTGACTTGGGATATGGAATTACCAGGTTTCTGACGAACTCTTACCTCCGCGAGGAAACTCCAAATAGTCATGTTGTTGAACAACGCGTTGAATGGCAAGTTTATTGACTGAATCTCTTCTTTTCGCCTCTTTTGGTTGATCTTCTCTCTATTTTTGTGAGCATGTTCATGACTTACCTTTTATGTATAGGCTATACACATTTGATGTTCACTGCAACTCATTCTTCCCAATGTTTGTGCTACTCTACGGTAACTCCATGATTCCATCTCCAAACACATTACTCAATTTCTCACACTCCTGAGAGATTCATGGCTTATATAGTTTCTTCTTATGTTGCAGTCGTACATTACTTCTTGTCACCACTCCTGATAGCCCACGGATTCATACCTTTACTGCTATCAAACTTGCTTTTCATGGTCGGGGCTTCGTACTACCATTATCTTAACTTCCTAGGTTATGACGGTAAGTCTCAATTTATTCCCTTCTTTCCTTCTTTTCACAATTTGAAAGCTTATGAGCTTAACAACATTGTTCGTTATGAATTCATACAGTGCTTCCATTTTTGGAACGAACAACATTCTTCCTCTACCCAATCGGGATCGTGATTGTCCTGTCACCTATTTGTAAGCTTTAATCATTTATTGTTTTGCATTTTCCTCTTTCTTGGATAAACATCTTCTTAAGTTTGTTCTCTGTTTTTGCAGTGATCTTAAGTGGATTCAACCCGTCAAGATATTTCATGAACATCTACTTCAGCCAAAGATTATGAAAAAAAAAAAAAAAAAAAAAGCCACATTCAGTGGAATCCTAAGGGCTCTGCACTGCACATACATCATCAAGTAAGGAAGAGAGAGTATGATTTATCTTTTTTTTTTTTACCCATAACATATCATCGTTATGCCTTAAGTTTCTGCTACAACTTCAAAGGCTACTTAATAGAACCAGTTAACATTTTTTTAAACTTGATCCCATTTAGCAAGTGCTCTGTTAAATGTAGTGTTTTTTTGTGTGTGGCATTTTCCTTTTGTTGCTTTGTTTTGTCCCAATTAATGGTAATTTATACGTTACGTGTTGAGAAAGACCAATCTTGGCTTCTCTCACCCAACTATGAGTCCCAAAATTCGTAGTTGCACCCATTAATCAACCCAACAAGTTGCTTAGAGTCCTCTTAATTAATCACCTTAGTGAAACCAGAAACTTCGATATTATTTTGTGAATGACATTACAAAATGAAACCGGCCTACACAAATTTAGCATTATTGGTGAATCTGTTTTTGGTATTAGACAGATGTTTGTTTGGTTGCATAATTGACCCAATTTATTTTGCTAAAAAATATCTATGAACTCATCCAAACTATTAAAAGAGAAGCACATTATGAAAATATTCAATTATATTTGTTAGATAATTTCATGAATTCATTAAGGGTATTAACGTCTAGTTTGTTAGTTTGATATTTGATATCGTAACATTTGTATGTGTATTGAACCAGGTTCATGAATTTTTTTTTTTGTCGGCTTGTTGGATTAAAAATCATAAAGGGTAGATACAGGTTTTACAAAGCCCACTTGAGCCCAATACACTAAAAATTACAATGAAACGCTAATAGGTTAATAACACGTGAGACATTAAGCATAACCTAATTGTGACACCTCCAGGACACATGTTACGATTGGGCAAAATGTTGAAAATGTTGCCCCCTTTGAGCTATGCCACTGCCGTCTTTGAGCTACGCCACCGGACTCTCACCGGGTTCTTGTTGCCGACGAGGTTCCAAATCGCCAATCAGTCCTTCGACATTTAAACTCAAAACTTGTACTTATTCTTTTTGCATAAAATCGCCTGAAACAATTGATGATTCAGTAGAATTTCACTAGAGTAAATGAAATCTGGAAACGGCAAATGCTTTAGAAACAGAACAATTGGCGAGACACCTCTTAAGAAACACTGCCTAAAGGACCCTAACCTCTACATATTCTGAACTGAAGCAAACATCTAAATCCAACCAACTCGATTGCAAATTCTAAGAAAAACTTGGTATTATAAAACCAAGATTTACATCAGAAACCGAAGAATTTCCTCTCTTGTGAAGACGAAATCGAGCAAAAGCAAGAAAAACAAGAATCAAACAACCTTCAGGAATTAATCTTCATTAATAGAAGATTTGAAGAACATGCAAAAGGTAAAAGATAAGTCCGATAAACCGAAAAACATCTTCCGACTAATAGAAAAATATAACACAAAACAGAAACAAAATTCGAGATAATATAAACAGGACAGTACCGGCTTCGGATTTACGCCGGACACCAGCCAAAAAACACTCAGATCCAAGAAGATTAATTCAGAAAATTGAGAGAATTTGGAGAGAGAAAATAAGAGAGAAGGTAGGTTCATGAATTCTAAACCAAAATTCTTTTCTATATTACAATTTAGTTACTGGGAGACGCCATTTATAAACCGATTCTTTTTCTAAACCAACTTTATCGAATAAGTAAAATGGTTCACAAATTAAAGTATTCAAACATCCTTATCCATGACAATCTATTTTTAAAACTTAATTTATTTTAAATCCTAATTATAACTGAGAAAGATTTTGATGTTACGATATCGAAAATCAAACTAACAAACTAACTAATATTTGAATATGTAAAATATGACATGTATTTAATTCTATATTTCAACTAGATTCAGGCTCCAATTGGTAAGGATTATGACTGTAGACTATAACTGTAGACTTTTGACTGTAAATAATTTGGCTGTAAAAACTGTGACTGTTACTTTATATATTTTTAAACGTATGATTGATAATAAAAACTGTAGATATTGTGACTGTTATTTTTAAATATTATAATTTAAACAAAAAAAATTAATCTAAAATATAAATTATAAATTTTTATTTTATTATGAATATAAATATGCAAAGTAAATATTTTTTATTTTTATTAACTGTAACACAAACAATTTTGAAAAATAAAAAATGTATATGGTAAATTAGATCTCGAAAGAAAGAGAAAAACATATTAATAATTAATTAGTTAAAATTTATTTGTTATAAAATTTATATAATATGAAAGAATAGTTTTAAACTTTTTGAGGAAGAAGAAATAGAAATTATGTTAGATAATTAAATTTTAAAGTAAGAAAAACTAAAACATGGCGGAAAAAAAAAGAAGAGAAGAAAGAGAAAAGTGAAAAAAGTTAAGGAAAGATGGCTGTAAAAAAAAATAAGAAATAAAGAAGAAAAATTTGAAAATAACTTTAAAGGCTGTTAAAAATTATAAAACATTAAAAGTGTAATTGACTATTTTTTTACTTTTAAAACTAGACTATTTTTTTACTTTTAAAGCTGTGAAACATGTTATAGTCTTTACAGTCTCTTTACCAATCGGATCCTCAATGTACTGGATATTCGGTATATTGACACTTAATCGAAATCTAGCTTAAATTTTTTTCTTTATTAATAATACTTATATTAATTTAATAATTGGTAAAATTTAGATACAAATGTTTGTTTAGCCAAGTTGGCGGATGAAAACCATTAGAGTAAAAGTTTCGATTAAGAGGTCCATTTCTAGCTAGCATATGTGCTATAACGTTACACACATTGAGCATGTGATATCTGAACATCTTTAAAACGAGAAATCCAGTACTGAATATCCCCTAATAAATTTAGTATTAATATGTTTTGATCATTGTTTTGGAGTAGTTGATTGAATACTAAGCAATCTCCTCCAAATGTGATAAATTCGAACCCCATGCTCCATGTATTTTGGAGAGTGACCAATAACGCCTTGCCTTCAGCTTCAAGACTGGATGTTGAACTCCATAGAGACGTAGCTCCCCAATACTGATTAAGACCTTGACAATTGCGAATGATCCATTATGCGCTACTTTGGTTTGTTATTTGATTAAAAGCAGCATCATAGTTACATTTAAAGGAACCTCACAAAGGGCAAGTCCAATAGTTCTTTGGTGTAGATGGTGAAGAGCAAAGCAGAGAGTTTACCATTTCTTTTAACCATTCAGCAACGTTAGAATAAGATTTGTTAATATTTTTAGTCAATTATATTGGTTTTTGTTTCAAAATAAAATAATTTCTTGATTTTCAAATTTGCCAAAGAAGCAAGAAAGATGACAGTTTTTGTGTGTAGATATTCTGGGTAGAGATTAAGCTCCCATTAGCATGTCAATGATATTTTCTGTATCAGATGGTGGGAAGGTAAGGAAATTGAAAGGCGGTTTAGACATGCACCAAATAGAGAGAGATACTGGACAAGTGAAGAAAAGATGATGAATCGTCTTTGCCTTCAGTCCACATCTTCAACATGTATCATCTAGCAATATCGCCCGGCTTTTAGTTTGGATGTCAAACTTATTGCTTTTGAAAGTATGCACCATAAAAAGTGTTTTAGTTTGGGCATAATCCGGAGTTTCCAAATCTTCTGTTTGAGTAAAAGGTCACCATAGGTGATATCCGGAGCAATCTAAGGAAATCCGGATTGTGACGTGCAAGCAAGTAGCCTGACTTTAATGTATATTGACCGTTCTTTGTGTAATTCAACAATTCTGTCTTGTTTTCTACATTTCCCTAGGTAAATGGTTGTAATAAGGTTAGAGTCATGCCTATTTAAGATGGCGTTAATGTTGATATGTTCCAGTGTTGGAATGTACCATTTTTGGTAATAAGATCTTTAACCATTAATGCTGTGTTTTGATTATGACCTGTTGTTTTGTGACCATCACCGATGATATGTCTTGAATCTTGATCCTTGTTCAATGAGTTGTAGACCACATAAGATGGATTTCGAACTTGTAAGATTGGTATGGTCTAGTTTTAACGTCAAACAAATGATCAGCAGGAAAGTAACGGGCTTTATATACTCTTGAAAATAGATAATGCAGATATTCAAGTAGACGTCATGCTTGTTTGCAAACAAGGCATCATTAAAAAAATTTAGATCTTTAAAGTCTATTCCACTCTCAGTTTTGGAATATTGGAGTTTCTTCCATGCTACCCAGAGGACCACGATGGTGCCTCAATGAGGAGAAAAGATTGTTCCTGTGCGTAGGCTGCTAACACGAGGAGGAGCCGTTGTTTTTTTGCAGCTTGTGCGAGCCAACTAGTGGCCAAACAGGGCATTTCCCAAAAGCGTTATCCCGAGTCCCGTACTACCGGAATAGTCTTCGTGTTGTGCTTACACGGAATGTTTTATGGTTTTAGAGTCGTACTTGGATATACCCCTTAGGGAGAGGTTGAGAAGGTTTGATAAGAGAGGGCTCTCAGAAGAGTCGATCTTAATTCCCGGTGATGCCCCAGAAGGCAAGCGCATCCCCGGAGAGGCACGCTGAGAAGGTCGCACGGTCCTATGAGGGAGCTAGCAAGGAGGGCTCGAAAGCCTGCAAAACCGGAGTCTCTAATTCTTGGAGGAAAAATGCCCTGGAAGGCTAAAAAGTCCACGTGGGAGCGTGCTAAAAGATTGCGCGGTGCCGGAAGGAATTGGTTTTAGAGGACATGGGGTCTGCTGGACCAAAATTCTGAATTCCCATAGGAATAGTGCCTAGGAGGACAAGCAAGTCCCACATGGAAAGTTTGCTGTCTAAGATCTGAACAGAGGTTATCCGGATGAAAACTAAAACCGTAAATATGATGCCCTCGGAGGGTAATATAATACGAATGAGTGACTAGTATTTGAATAAACAAGGAGTTCCCCAGTCACTGGATTAGTCAAGCATAAAATCAAGTAGTAATGCAAACACGGAATCGATCAAGC